ATGTTTTAAAGTTTTCTTTCAATGTAATGTATTTTAAGTCAAAATTAAAGGGTCTTTTATTGTTATTATGTACTGTTTTTTAAGTCGCTGTTAAAAGGTTATTTCATGCAGGAAGTTGTAATTCATTGTTAAAAGTTTGTCATCCACGTGGTATGTCTGTGTTTTAAGGATGAAGTTAACACGCTCATTGCCCACAACACAAGAGCAATGGTTAATGGTTTGGAAGATTAATTTGACTTGTCAGTTTGAGAAACCTGAAACGGAAAAGGTAGGAAAGGTGCGGTATGCATGTATATATTTTCTACCTGCTTTTAGCGGTATGGGAATTTTAGCATAAGCATATGGTCTAGAAACTCATTGAGATTACTTTGTTTTCTAGAATAGATAATGCCTATTCTACACGAAAGGATATTGAAAGAACTTGCATTGTACTATTCTTTGCTGGCCGAGTTGAAATTGTCTAACACTACAGCCAACCAATGATGTGAGACAAAGTTCACGAGGTGACACCGTAAACTGGAAAAAGAAACTGAGCTAACCCGTTGAATTCAAGTATGCTTTCTTAGTTCTGTCCTATTTGGTTTTTATCATGAATACTTTGTCAGAGATTCATCTTGAGAGAAGGAAAAATGACGAGTTATTCATTGATCCAGCAGAGGCGATCATCCACTTGTCTATGTACAGTTATTTTTTTGTCTGAATAAAGACTGTTTTCACTATCCATCAAATGCAACTTAAAACTTTGTCAGTTATCAACCACAGATTACACATTTTATTTACTGATCAAATCTGTTACTCATAGGAAAATCAATTTACCTGAAAATACCACAAGTTTACATAGTTTTAACATAAAACATTACATTAGGCAAGGAAGTAATCAAATTCCTTTTCCCTTAGTTATCTATTGAACTGGATCATTCATCCATTGTATCATGTGCATTTTCTCGAGAGAAATTGTTTTTTGAAATTGAATATGTGAAAATAAACCATCTATTCCACTAATGGATCAGTTGATACACTGAGAATACAATCTCTCTTATTTGTGTTTTGGAATGCCAAACAATGATATGGAAGTGCACACACCCTGAGAAGAATAGCATTATTTTTTGTGTATATAACACTCAGTTTCTCAGCCTGGAACAATTCTTCAACAGGTTACCATTTCTTCACAGTGGTCTGTGGAAGGTCCAGAAAAGGCATAGTCTCTTTTACACACTTGATAACTTTGAGTGTAATCAGTTTAATGAATAAAGATTGTTTCATTCTGTTACACTTTGTGTCCAGTCTCTTTTTTTAATTTAGTCAAAGTCAAAAAGTTAAGATATACTCTGTGATACATTTGCTGTCAAACCTCCTGGTACTCTGTTAACCTATCAAATTACTCTTAAAGGAAACCTGTGCAGCTCAGTACAACACAGCCAAAATCAGCTGTCTTGGATTTCTCATATTGTGTTAGCTTCTTCTTAACATATCTCTTTTGTGTCACAATAGGAATTATCATTAGTGAACCAGAACAATTTTAATTATTTCACAATCTAAATACAAAAAAAAAAAACCACTCAGCAAGTTTCTTTTGACGTTAGCTTATTCTTGATGACATTAGTTATTACATTATAAATACCTATCAGATGAAGAAATACATTACAAAAGAGAAGACAGAACTTTAATATTGCCACCCTGTTCGTTCATTGACAAAGGCCTGTGTTCATCACTAATGTTAAAAAATGAGAACTACTTTCCTCTTTTTCAAGATATGGTTTTCCAAACCTACATAAACACTGCCTTGTCCAAAGTAACTGAACATGCATTTACAGTGGTTATAGTGACAACTGTCTTAATGCAGTGTAACACCACACTTAATTCAAATAACTTCTGCTATTCTGCGATGCATGCTGTCAACATGTCTGGTGTAAAATAGCTTCACTCTTATTTCTTTAAGTTCAGCCAGTTGATGATTACTAAAAAGCTTTGTTTAGCATTTTGAATTAACACATCTTGTTTTCTCTCTAATCACCCAATTCACGACATCTTGATAGCAAACACAAATACATTTTGTACTAATAAATATTTTGGCTTAATTTATTTTTTTATCATAATACAGAGTTCCTTTAAAAATCATGCTGGGTAGTTCATGTTCAATGAGTGTTCAAATAAAGTTGAAAGGTCGGGAAAAACGTCCCCCCCCCCCCCTTCTCTCTATACATTATGTATATTGTGTATATCTTGATAGCAAACACAAATACATTTTGTACTAATAAATATTTTGGCTTAATTTATTTTTTTATCATAATACAGAGTTCCTTTAAAAATCATGCTGGGTAGTTCATGTTCAATGAGTGTTCAGATACAGTTGATAGGTCAGTGAATACGTCCCCCCCCCCCCCTTCTCTCTATACATTA